TGCAAATTTCTGATGGTGTCCAGTGCATTAGCCAAGGACACTTTAGTTATTTGCGTCCTTTGCTGTATGGAAAACAAAATTTTTATTATAAATTTTGGTTTATTAAAACTGGGCTTATTGAATAATTAATTAGTTGGTTAAAAATTAAAAATACATTATAAGGTATAACTCCCCTTTGTTCTGTTAGGCCACTGTTTGAATATGAAAATGTCATTACTTGTTATGTGAGGAACAAAATCAAACAAAAAATCAACTTGTAATGTAAAAAATCCCAATATTTCAGTCTTTTGTTAGTTGGAGTCCTCAATCAAATATGCAAAGGGGTATGCATGCATTTCCAGTGATCCAAGGAATGTGAAAGCAACTTGTAATAATTCAGCATATAAACCTCGTTTAACACTCTTGTAATGGGTAATGCAAGTGATTAAATACTGTGATTTTAATCTTGGCATTTTAGTAACCCAATAAGATAGATGAAAAGGCAGTAACAAATTAGATTATCTAATGATATTCATTCTAAGAAGTACAGTTATTCTCTGCAATATGTGTTTTTAAGTTTTTCATAGTATACTGTTAAAAATGCTCTAATAACAGTCCTCTAGCCTTTTCACTGTAATCCATTTTCATGAGCTTATAAAAAAGTTAAAGTCAAATTATCTCCACAAACAAACAGACACAACTTTAGATTGCTTTCATGTCTTTTGGGAGAATATCAAAGCAGTCCCCACCTTTCTTGTCTGAAACTGTATGTCATGTATCGATTGGGCAATATGGAAGCAAAGTGACAGCCACTCGTTAGGTCTTCACGGCCTTGGCCATGGCAGGACAAGGGGGTGGAAGCCATGCAGGGGCCGCTGGCCCTGAGTGGGCCTGCTGGGGCCTCGCATGCATAAGCCGAGATGCAGATGTGACAAACAGCCGCTCCTCTCCTCAGTCGTGCCCTTGCTGCCCAGGCAACCCTCACAGTCTGGGCATCTCGGGCTCCCAGGAGCGGCTGGTATGATTTAGTTGGGAGTGCCACAAGCAGATTTCTATACTCCTTGGCTACAACATAAATAGCATGGAATCTCTGTTGTTGGAGCAGGTCTGAGTTTCAGTGTTCTTCCCAGAATGTTTGTTTTTCTATGTGGTTTGAACCCACCTTCAGTGATTGAGCTACATACTGACCAGAACCGGGAGAGAATGAAAAAGCTACAAAGACCGAGAAAGAAACACGTGGGAGGCCAACAGTAATCTTCAGTTCAATCTCTGTGTGTTTCTACTAAAAATATAAACCAAGAAAGAGACACCTATAATTTCTTTTCCTGGTGCTACTGAAAAATCTATCCTCCATGCAGATTTTTTGCAAGCCTGACAAATATTTACCAGGTCAAGTTTATGATAGTTTGTGAAATAACATATGTCATTTATTTGGACAGAGCTGTGCCTGCCCTCCCCACACCTCCCAACTCTTCTTCCTTCAGTTGAACTCATTCCTCTGGTCATGATGTTGAGTGGCTCTTCCACACAGCTGCCTCTTAAATGTAAGGAGCTGAACTTTCCCTCTCCCTCTCAGATTTGCTTTCCAGTTCAAAACAAAATAACTGACAAATGATCTGGCTGCCAAGAATGTGGGCAGCACACATATTAGGATCTCCAGAAGTCTTTCCATGTGGAAATCACGTACACAAACCAGCGTTGTTGGATGGTTCTGACGACGGGCAAGAACGCCATTCACCAGCACCCTTTACCGGGTGCCCAGTGCACAGTGGTGGCAGCCCTTGGGGGGAGCCTGCTTGTCCTGTTTCCTGTGTAAGGGAGCTCATGCTCAAGTGGCCGTGACAGCCTGAATTCCCATCCAGTTCCTTCAGAGCTCTTGCATTTAATTACTGAGTTATGTTCTTGACCACCTCGTGTGGTTTTATGATTTTACTTTGAAATCCAAGGAGGAGCTTTCAGGACACTGTCAGATTGGGGGATAAAGCAGGGAGGTGTTTCCAGCATAATATTTGCTTTGAAAAGAGGGTTCAAATAGTTCAGTGTCTGAAAATCGCAGAGCATACTGTATTTGTCATTTTGTCACTCTTAATATGTGTGTGTGTATTTCTGTGTATGAGCATATATGTACGTGTGTGCCTATGTGTTTGTGTTATATATGTGTATATGTTAGGAGTCAAATCATATTAGAGCACATATATTGAGCATTTATTAAATCCAGTCTCAGTGCATGGGGTTTTTACATATTTACTTGCTAAGATCCCTACAAGATAGGTATCTTCCCCATTGTACTGTGAGGGACAAGGAGTTGGGGGTATTTCAGACAACATCACACAGCTGCCATACACATCAGTTCTCCTTCAGCACCTGAGCCCTTCAGTGGAACCACAGCTCTGGTGTTCTGAGTCATCTGTCTCCAGAATGCCTGCGGACACCCTGCATGAGTGACCCTTATTAAGTATTTTTCTGTTTGTATCCTGGAGAATGGCTGGCCTTTGACTTCTAGATGGTTTGTTACTTTAGGGCAATTAATTATAGCATTCTTAAGTTACCTGCATTCCTGTCCCACATCTTGTTAGGGAATAGGTGGCCCTGTATCTTTCAGCATCCTCTCTTCAGAGGGACATGTGTGACTGTGACTGTCACCATAGTGAGGTTTCCTGGCCTCTTCTCCAGGAAGAACCAACCCTCTTCTCTGGTGTTGCTTCTTACTGGTGTGCAAAGAGTGGGGCCCTAGCGTTCCCCCAGGGAAGATGTGAATGGCAGGTCTTGATTTCTTACTCTTGCAGCTCCTTCAATAGTTCTTTCACCTTCTTGTGGGACTGAGTCAAATGAAAGTGAAGCCGGGATGCAGACGTCAGACGTCCACAGACATGAGTGGGAAGAGAACCACTACTTGGCTTCCTTGTACCTCCTGGCTGGCGATGCCCTGGCTCAGCCTCTATTGTTTCCATGTTGCAATAGATGCTGACATTTTCCTGTGCTTAATTCTTTAAACTAGAACCTAACCTCCAGGAATACCCTTCCCAGTTTTGGAATTTCAGAAAAGTTACAGGTTCTACTTTTTGTCTAAATGGGGAAGAATAGTAAGAAATGCTATTGCCTTCACTAATTTTGAGTTCGCATTGTTCAGACCCAGTTTCTCATAGTTTAGAAGTAAAGCTTATCTAGGAGGACATCTCATGGATTTCTTGAAATGTCTACTTTGCTACATTTTTGCTGCTACTACATTTGGCTCTCATGATAAGTTTAAAAATAAATTTGTATTTTGTAATAATTCCTTTCTAATCAGACTGGAGGGATTGATCTTCCTTTCTGGTAGAAAATGAATTAATGAATTGGAGCATGGCCTGCTCCCTAAAATAGCAATATGTCTAAACGGGGCTGAGGGTTTAACTAATGACACAGAGCTAACTGTTTGGTAGTAAAGAGCTAAAATAGGGCAGACTAATATGTCACACTGATTTCTATTTAAGTGTAAGTAGTTTTACGAATGTCTCAGTGAGTCTGAAAGCTTCAAGTTGTTTTGAGAAGAAGTAGCTATTTTCACTCAGTGAGGTCTCACTTTGCCCACATATAAATTTAGCAAACTCTGGATTTTTATTTTACATCACCAGAAGTGGCATTTGAGTAACAAATAAAAAGCCTCATTTTCTTTGTAGCTCAAAATGAAAAAAGAATAAAAAGGGACAAGTGACAAAATCCTTTCCCCAACCCTTGCCGCCCTCTCCCCCTAAATTTCAACTCCTTTTGTTTTCTACTGAGAAAATTCGCTATCTGATCTTTGGTCTCATTTATTTCAGTGCCTGCGCCATGCACTTGGTGGAGCCGGCTTCTGCTAAGATTATGTTCTGACAGGGTGATGGGGCCGGAGTCTGGCCAGCCGTGTGTCTCTGCTTTAGGAGGCATGATGAGAAAATGTGTTTTCCTCCCTTTCATTTCTCTCCTAAAGCCAGCGGCGCAGGAGGAATTTGCCGTTCTCAGTAGATCTGTCTCTATCACGGCCTCTCCTTTTTATGGCCATCCCCTCTGTGAATGAGAAAACAGGGAGCACAAGGGTTTAGCCTGTCAGAGCCAGTTCACTGGATTAGCCACACAAAACATCTTCTATTAGAGAAGGAACAGACGGCAAGGGCGTTGCACACACTGGCCGTTAGAACGGCTCTCCCGGGGACCTCAGGGGTGGCTCCTAGACATGAGTCCCCAGGACCATATCAGGGTACTGTGGCAGAAGTTGCTGTAGAATTGATGTCATCAGGCAGAAGCTTACGTTCCACCTTAGCCCATTATAACCAAGGCATGAGCCTGATCAAAACCCCATTCTTTTCCAGCTTTCTAACTCCAGAATTGCTTAATTACTGATTGTTCAGTGGACATGGCCAATCAGGACGCCACATGAAAAATGAATCAGACACTCAGCGGGCCTCACAGAGAGGAATGCCTTCGCAAAACTGGTTTTACTCACAATCACCAGATCCTTAGCAGTAAAGCTCTAGCATGGATGTATAGTGTCTGATTTCACATTTCTTACACACTTTGGCAATTATTCTCTCTTGTTCATGGCCATGTGCATGCTCCGACTTCCAGACCAAACGAATATGCATTCTTTCTCTTTCCTTTTTTCTAAAATATATAAGGCTGTGATGATGAGAGGTAAGTTTTCAATGGTGAAACTGCTGTTCAGGTCAAATGGAAAATGTAATCTCAGCAACTATAAGCTCTAATGCTGTTGTTAAGATTTCTTCTCATGAGGAAAGCCAAAGGCTGATCTTTATTTTCCTATATTCAGAGGGCCATGAAATTTCTCAAAGGTCAATTTTCTTTGCCCAAATAATTGTAAAGTAGCATCCTACCTGAATTATGTCACCATAATTTTAAGGTAGTAGTACTGGAAATGTATATGCCTGATATCCCCCCCAGCCACCTTGAGTTCATATGAAACCTTACTGTCCTCTGCAGACAGCCTCTGCCTGCAGAGATGTTTGTCTCATGCATGGCCTGTGTCTGGTTTTCTTTTGACCTAGGCCTTCTGCCTTATCCAGCAGCCCAACGTACTCAGACCTGCCCTTCATCCGGATCTCCCCGCACCGGAACCCCGCTGCAGCTTCGGAGTCCCCCTTCAGCCCTCCACATCCCTACATCAACCCCTACATGGACTACATCCGGTCTCTGCACAGCAGCCCATCTCTCTCCATGATCTCGGCGGCCCGGGGGCTGAGCCCCACCGATGGTAAGTCTCAGACTAAGCCATTCTGCTGCCATACGTCATACCGCCTCCAGCCCCTGCCTCACCTCGGATGTGCATAGAATAGCTTTGGTGGTTAGTGAGTGTCCACCATGTCCCAGACGGTGCTTAAGTGCTGAAGTGCATGCTTTCATTTCAGTGCTGCGACACCTCCATGACGGTGGGGTTATTACCTCCATTTTCAGGTGAGGACAGCAAACGGCAGAGGGGCCAAGTAACTTGCAGCCGGCTCCATTGGCTAGTAAGTTGCAGAGGTGGAACTCAAAGCCAGACTCTCAGACTCAGAAATCCTTGCTCATTTCCATTGTGCTGTTTGTGGCTCACATATGTTTAGACTGGCTGTGTAGCTTTCACACAACATGGGTGTGTAGCACTGCCTTTTGCTCACCTTCTATTGAACAGTTTTCTGTTCTGCATGTCTGAGATCATGTTTATGTGACTGTCCATTAGAGCAGTGCTCCCCAAACTCCAGTGCACTTACACGTCACCTGGGTGTAGTGATCAAAGGGGTTCTGTGTGGGGTGGGGTTGGGTGGACCTGAGATTCTGTATTTCGGAGAAACTCCCAGGTGATGTCAGTGTTGCTGTGGACCACACGGGGAATAGCAAGGTGTTTTGAGAACACAAGGGCTCAGATCTGTTGCCCGTGACCTCTCTCCTAGACTGTGTCAAATGGAACTGGAAGAGGGATGGGGTAGGAAAAGAAACAAACTTGGACTTCAATTCTGTTATATTTCATGCTTATTTTAAGCTCTCAAGAATGAAATTCCTGTTGGCTCTATTAAATAACTCCCAATTACTTTTCACATGACTCTTTTTTACTGGAGCTGGATATTCCACAACTGCAAAGGTATAAAACTTTCCCTTGATTCAGGAAGAGCATTTCCCATCTCATGCACACATGTATCAGCTCACTTGCTCACAATAGCCAGAACCTGAATTAAGGTACAGAATTACGTAAGTAGTATTAATTACAAATAGAGGATTCTGGGTTCTCTGCTGCTCATGTCGAAGCACAGGGAAACACATGCAATCCATCTCACCCATCAGTGCTGGGGATCAGTGTGCACTGTCCACACCCTGCCTGCAGAGCCCTTCCTGAGGCCTGCTGTGTGTGTGGTGGGAATAGTAGGTGCAAGGCTGTGTGACGTTTCTCAGCACATATTTGCTCAGTTGTACTTTCTGGAATAGCTGTGCTCCAGCAACAGCAGCCAGCTCGGCTCTTTTTTTTTTTTTTCCTTCTGACTCACTGCAGTAGTGGTACTTGTAAGGTATCGAAGGGATAAGTTTTGCCATATGTCCAAGATTCACATTTTAAAATTAAAAGTGTGAGAGAGTCAGACCGGAGTTAGTTGTTCTGCTTCGGATTTGGTTTTGCAATGCAGAAAATGGAGCATCACCTCCATGGAACCTGGGAGTTCTAGAAAATGACTAATGGGGAGCAGAAGGAGACAGATGTAAGAGAGGCTCACTAACAACAGACTTAGAATTATGCCTGGCTTGCAGAAATGTAGTTGGGCCAGTGGAAAGTGGTATGTTTAGTTAAAGCAGCTTGTTGTTTGCTTTCTGTAGTATTTAATGATGAATGAATAAAATATTCTTTGATCGGTTGTTCTGCCTCCCTCTTCTTGCCTCTAGAGTCCAATTAGCACTCAATCAAATCAAGTCAAGCCATTAATATTTCTCTTTTGTGGTCTAAGGTTTTGTATTTATATATATGTATATGTATTTATCATGTATAACATGTATATGGACACAATTGTAAAACATCTGGAGACCTATTGCTAAAATGCCCATGTTTCTACACTAATGACTGTTAGACTGACTTTCATTGATTGAATGCTGTGTATTAAGCACTTTACATGCATCATTGCCTTCATTGCTCCCAACAACCTCATGACACTGGGATTTGTGTGCAGATCTTGGTGAACCTGGAGACCACCCTCAGTACTGCTAGGGTATCTTGCTGCTTTTGCATGTAAATTGGCAGGTGGAAACTGATAATTTTCCTGCTCTTACAGAGCTGACTCTTGCTAGTAAATTGCTCCAGATTGATAGGTATATTTTCCTTTGGATTTTGTAATGAAAAAGAAAAAAAGTTTAAAATTATGGAACACAGATTTGCAGCTTATCCCTCAGCTGTGTTTTATTAAAGTGGTGCCTTGATCACGTGTAAGCACTGCATCCTCCAGGTACTGAGACGCTTTCATCAGAAAGCTCAGGGAAGGATTTTATGTCTGGGAAGATATCATAGTTGTCTGAGTTGTCTCCTTCTGTAAGGAATGTGAAGATGCACTGCTTTGGTGTAAGAAACTATTTAGTATGTGGAGGGGGCAAATGTGGGCATTGAGTGTACATGCGTATGTACATATGTACATTTTAATTATTTTTGAATTCTTGGTGATGTCTTTAACTCAAAACATTTTATAGTATATTTAGTTTTTTTCTCTTCTTTTTCCGTTTTTTTCACTATAAATAAATAAATATAAACACATCTCTGTAGACTTCAGTGAAAGCACAGTTTGAGTTAAAGAAGTTTAACGAGAGTGAGCCATAAAAGGAATGACTGGTACAGGCCGCCTGGCAAATGCACTTTGGGATGTCTCAAGAGAAGCTTCATGTTGCCCTTCTTCCAACTAGTAACTGGTTCTCTTTTATCCTCTGCTAGCCCCCCACACTGGAGTCAGCCCGGCAGAATACTACCACCAGATGGCTCTGCTGGCTGGGCAACGCAGCCCCTACGCAGACATCATTCCCTCAGCAGCTACTGCTGGAGCTGGTGCCATCCACATGGAGTATCTTCATGCCATGGATAGTAAGTGATGGGCCGTTCTCTGCAGACCTGGGGGTGGCCAGTGCTAACACATGGAATGGAGAGGAAGACGCAAAGATTAGGTTGATCGCTCAGCTTTCCAAACTGGAGGAAGAACCACCAATATTTGGCACATTGGTTTCCTTGGTTTTCTAGGAAGCTTCTGCAGATTTGATTATCTGGGGACTCCCTGTTTAGCTCAGGGACACAGTGAACTGGAAGATGCAAGTGATTGTAATTTGGCAGATACACAAAAAACTATCCCTCCTTGAATGTGTTTGTTTATGTGGGTGTATGACATCCAGTCACTCTTAGATTTCATAGATTTTATGCTTTAAAAATTAACTGAAAAAAAAGACTTGGTTTTGCATTTTTTCATTGATTTTTTTTGCCTCGTGGATTTTCTTTACATTAAAAATTATATTTTGCTAAGACCTTTTATCTAGGAAAAATTAAAAGCATTTCCAAGTCAGAAGGGGCTTTCTTTTAGTGCATAGCAATGGAAGAAAATGGGATCATTTGATGCATTTTATATCACATCATTTTGGATCCCTCAAGGCTTATGATGACCCCTTTGGGTCACTTACCTAGACATACAGATGAACGAGCCTAGGTTATCACTGCTGAAAACATCCAAGAGTTCTTGCTCATTCAGATTCTTTACATTCTGTTTGCTGGGTTCCAGGAAGTCAACCAAAAGCTTCATCCAAGGCGTAGCTCGATGAAAGCCAGTACCCTTTAAATGACAGCAGCATGCCTTTGAGTAGGGCTTACACTCAAGGTTTTGTTTGTTTTTCCTAGTAACAGTGCTTTTGCATCTGCAGTCTGTCTGGGTTCTTCTCTGACAATGGTGTCCTTGGCACCTCTCTAGCAGTGGTTAGGAATTCAGCCTTCAGGTTTTGAATAAAGAGAAGGTGACTGGTCTACACAGGGTGAATCTAGAGCTTTAGTCTTGCTGTCATGGACTGTCGTAGCTCTATTCCACAGGAATGCAGCTTGCCATGTTTCCCATCTCGGAGCTCAGCACCACACACAAAGTAAATATGTTGCACCTTCTGCAAGGGTTTTGTTGTTTGACTTTATAGAGAACCTACATTTCAGATGCAGCAGGAGCACATTTCAATTAGGGATTGTTGAAAAAAAAAGCCCAGTGTTATTATGCAAATTAGTTATTTGAAATCTGCAAATAAAGAATTAAAATAAGAGAGACTCCTTGGAAGGTCAGCCCACATTACCTTCTCAATTTGATGAGAATGGGTTTAGTCAGGCAATGGCAGTTTTTACCTAAATAAAGGATGAAGCTACTCTTTTACTTTGTAAAAACCAATTAAAGGAATTTTAATTTGCCTGAGTACATGGTGAATTGATTGTCATTAAGTAGGAATTTAGATGTCCTATCATTCATCACATAAAAGGAAACCTCCCTTCTCTGTCAGAATTTTGTATTCGAATAGAGAAACACAACAATTAACAGAAAGCCAGATTGGAGGTATCTGTGCTGGAACAATAAGAATGTTCAGGTTTACATGCAAGAATAAAGTTGCAGGTTCAGTGAAGCACTGGGCCACTCTTTTCAGTTGCTTTGGAAATGTTCACTGTCCATTCCAGCAGCTCCCTTAAGCAGAGGATCCCAAGTCCCCGTCCCCAAGTGCTGCCTTTCTCTTTCTTTGGTTGCTTATTAGGGGGCAGGGAAGAGGTTAAAGTTATTAAAGGGTTGGAAAGTGCTTTAAGCACTGTCTTCCTTCCCTCCGAAATAATAGAAATAACATCTAGTTTAACAGAACATAGGAAGAGTACCCAGACTTTAAGCCGTAGGATACTTTTCCAGTGGAGAAGCAACACGGTTGTAAATTCCCACATTGGATGCACACCTGCAATGACCCTGCCGCACAGGGTCCAGCTGGTTGCTCTGACCCATTGTTACAGATCTTCAGGACTCTTCCACCGGCAGAAGCCACAATAAACTGGTTTCACATGAGCACTTGACTTCTAAATGCACCAACAACAGTCACATCTGGGTTTCAGCCAGCTGCAGAATAGAGACCCAATGTGTGGCACGGCAGAATAAACAAGTCTGTTTTAGGACTGTAATTCTGCCTTTCAGGATTAGAGTGCTCTCAAAAGACAGGAGAGCAAGGAGTCTTGCAAGGCACATCCTAGAGTTGAGGGCTCCTAAGAGCCATGCTATTTGAATTGGTGGAAACTGACTTAAATAAGAGCCTGTCTTGGAGAGGGAAACAGAGAGGGGCTGGAGTAGCCAGGCGATGTGTAATCTGCAGGGTCCATGGAAGGGAAGAAGTGGGGCTCCTGGGTTGTCTTTGGAAGATGTGAGGGGGATATAAGGCCTCCAGGGCTTTATTGCATCAGATGGCCTCCTTGTCTAGTTAGTGATTGTAAAAATTGGAGGTGTTCCGGGGATCAGCTCCATCCAGAATGTCCTTGGGATCACCAAACAGGGTTATGGTGGAGGATTATGAGGTATGGGCAATGGCCTGATTTGTCCTTGAAATAGCTTGGAAGTGGAATGTATTTCTTCACTAAGAAACTTCAGTGATGAAATGAGCATCTCATAGTGAGTAGGTGTGCAATATTTATTTGTTAGGCAGATGCCATGATAAAAGTAAGATGTCCATCAACATCCTAGAAGATGCGTGCATCATTGGGGTTGCTGATTTGGGGCTGATATTCCCTAAATCAGGCTAATCATGAAATTATTCTAAATGAAGATACTCAATTTTAAATGTGCCTGAAAGAAAACTTTGAGTAGGTACCACATTGGTCACTGAAATTGGTTCTCTGGTTTTATACATGGATGGTACTAATACTGAGTTCCAATTTGTGATTTACTTTTTACTAACTATAAAGTATGTGTATTTATTTCTATAATATAGAGAGAGTCTTTCATGTCCATCTATTGCATTTCATTAAGTTGTCTCAAAGCATGTTGGGTTGTTACCCTGTGTCAGGGCCCATCTTTGATGAAGAAAATATTCCCAACCTATTTTCCAGACCGAGTGCCTAGAGTTTGTTCTGTAAAGAAAGCTCACCTTCTACTCTAGTTTTCTGGGTATCTCAAAATGTCCATGTTCCCGTGTGTGGGTGCACCCATGGTATGAAATGGAAACCCTCCATTATTACTTAAAATTAATCCTGTTTGATTTGCCTCTGACATAGTGGGATTAGGTTCTCATTCTTTCACTGAACTATAGTTTGATGACTCTGTAATGTAAATGTGACCTAAGAAAAGGTAGGAGTGGGTCTCTGGGCCACATTCAGAGCTATGTCCTGAAATTCAAATCTCTAATATCTACCAAATTGAAGGCAAATGGGCATTTAACTTTTAACTTTCCAAGTAAAAACCATTGTATCAATTTGGCAGCACTTAAGTGTGAGTTACTAACTTCCAGATTAGAATTTCATTGGAGGAATCTTCTTGAAGGCTAAAAGTTCTAATAATAAATAATAAATTCTTTATTCTCTGTTAGTTCTTACTAGAAAAGAAAGTCTAGAGAGTTAAAACAGACTGACTGAATCTCATTATACTTACAGTGGGGTTCTTTCCCCTCCTTGGAAAACCATAAACAAAATCACATCCCAAGATTTTGTTTCTTAGGACGTAAGCTGTTGGGTTATGGGAAATTGAGGGCAAGGTTCCTCAATCTTGGTATTACTGGGGCTAGATAATTCTTAATCATGGCATCTGTGCCGTGCACAGCAAGGTGTCCAGCACCATCCCAGTCTCTACCCACTGGGTGTAAAGAGCACCCCATAAGTTGTTATAACTAGAATGTCTCCAGATGTTGTCATATGTCTCCTAGGGGCAAAATTGCCTCTGATGGAGAGCATTTGTTTTAGTAAAGCTTTAAGAACTCCATGGATCAGAGAACTACAGAAAATGGGAAATGAGGGCATAAATAGCTGAATTTTTTATTTTTGGATACTTTAATTCATCTTTCTCTTGGCCTCATTGCCTTAAAATAGTGCATTTGGAGTGGGAGGGGTGGTGTGCTGTGTAACCGTGGGAACCACTGTCTTTGTCGTTTGTGGTGAATTAATGACGGGAATATCTAAGCCGCCGTCAGATTCATAAATCACTAGAAATGAGAAGGATAACACATAAAAGTCCTTCCCTTTTGTTTAGCAATTTATCATTTTGCCTGCACATTAATAAACAGAGCTCCCCTGAGGTAAGGCCTAGGAAGATAAATTTCGCCCTAATTTTCTCAATTGTAGCCAGTAGATCACAAGTGGGTGGAGCAGTACTTGTCACCGGAAGTTGCCAGCTTCTTCTTCACTTCTTCCACACAGGCGAGTATCAATAAATAACTGGTTCCAGTACAGCCGCAGGTAATCCAGTTCTGTTTTGTTTATATAACAGGCACCAGGTTCCCCAGTCCCAGGCTGTCAGCCAGGCCGAGCCGAAAACGTACACTGTCCATATCACCACTGTCTGATCATAGCTTTGACCTTCAGACCATGATAAGGACGTCTCCCAACTCCTTGGTCACCATTCTCAATAATTCCCGCAGCAGCTCTTCAGCAAGTGGCTCCTATGGTCACTTATCTGCCAGTGCAATCAGGTATGTATTTTCCTGAATCCATTATGTGCTTCTTTAATAAAACATCAGCCCTTGACTGCACCTGAATTTGCAGGACTGGCTATCTCTGAGGAAGAATACTGCGCATGGAACTGGGCGGCACCTGGGATGCAGGCTAAGTATCACTACGGTGAATTCCAGAGCCAATTAATGGGCCCCAAATAATTGTTTTTGCAGACTGCAGTCAGTAGCCTGTGTGTAAACATTTATGACTACTGGTTATAATGAAATCTACTTCATAGAGACAGTGAATATGGCAAATCTTTCAATCCGAGCTCTGCTTACTAATTATAGTTCGCTAAAGGAAAACCTGACTTCATACCTGGTGATGCAGGAACAGGAGCAGAAATCAGAAGGCTCGCCTGGTATTTCCCTCTCCCAACTGCTACTAGGGGGAAAGCGGAATGACAGGCGCATGTTTAGTCTAACAGGAAATAAATGCCTTGAAATTGTAACATAGCTATCAGAGTTCCTTTATTTTCTATTAGATATTTTTTGTTTAATTTGAAAGATCTCTACTTTAGCCATTCTCCTTCTCTGTACAATGAGAACATTTGGACACAGCCTTCGGTGAAGTGTGTTATGTCTGTACCTGTGTGTGAAGGTAAAAACGCAGACTTCTGTGAACATGCTTCGTAGAAAATATTTCTCCCTACTAAGGACCGGACCAAACTTGGGCTGATGTAGGGAATAATTAAACCATCTTATGAAATTTAGGTATGTTTACATTGCTCTTATGAGCTAATCACTTCTTGTTTTGAACTATGCTAATTAACAAATAGTTATTTTAGACATAGAATTAGGCAGTATTCTAATTAACTATGCAACCCTGCTTATAGACTTCTGTTCTCATTTCCCCTAAGTTTTTCACCCATAATTTAAGAATTAAGTAACTAGCAATCTTTGGAACTTTAGTATTGCAAACCACGGGCGATTCCTTGCTTTAGTACATATTACATATTAAAAGTACATATTAAAGGCTGTTTTCACTAGCCTTGTTTTGAGCAAATGAGGATTTATTGATTGGTGTGTTTCTATAAGTGGACAAAAGCTTTAGTCGTTAATTAATGGGTCTTTCATGACAG